ATACAGAAAATCATACGCTCACGACAACACAAATGTTGCACAGCAATCACCCTGCCATCGCCATCTGACAGGATCCAGCTGTTCGCTTACAATCTATAACAATAATGTATGATACAACACATGTCTGATAATGCGTCGTAGGCTGGTCTGGATCCATGCTTGTCGCAAACCCATTATGTTGGTTTTGTCGTGACGCGGCTCAAATAAAGTTGTTATATAATGTGTAATTGTATACATGACTCTATAAATTAAGTTGTTGCAAGATTTTTGTAAAGAGTTTAGTTTCTGCTAAGTTTTGTTTGAACCAACCAAACTTTTAGCATACATATTATCAATTGACAGGATCATAAGTTTGGTATATTTCTGGTCTTTTTGGGATCATGATTTACTTAAGTTTCGTGTTGAAGATCGTATACGGTTTAAGTCGGTATTTGGTAACACCAGGGATGTTGCACTTTAAATATCTGCATTGAACCAATTTAATCAACCAAAATCTCCAATTTTCTCCAATTTAATTTACGTTTTCATTGATTAGGAGGGCTTTCTCCTTTTCCCAAATTCTCAAAATGATTTTCACACTATTTATTTACCAGATGTATACATTAAGTAGTGGTTTCACTTGTAACACTACAAAAGTATGTTAGAGGAAATGATTACTTTTACCTGCCTTTTGAAAATGAATTGGTATAGTAATGTTTACATTTTTACTTAACTTGGTAAAATAACACTTCTTTTGAATCGTACAATGTTTAATATGGCAATATTGTAAGTGGAATTATAACAAGGTATAAACTTGAAATTAGAAGTCTATCCTAAAATGTTTTTCAATTTCAATACGGTCAAAGAATATATATTTTTCCAAAACTGAGTCACGTATTTTAGAAATAATAATAATCGTCTACTAAACTACATATTATTAGAGTGGTTTAAATAAATCGCAGGTATAATATATAGCGTACAAGAAGAGGTTAAATAGTAAGGTTTATCTTTTGTTTTTTGAAACGAAGCGTATATCAATAATATTCAAATTACACATTCAAAAGTATCATATTAAGTAATTGTCTGATCTTGATACATGTTTATGTGGTTACACGAATACCTTAATTGTCTCCGTTAATCAATAAGATAATATAACAACATTGTTAATTTAATGGGAAACAGTAAACAATATATATTCAATTCAATTTATAACAAGACAATGTGTCTGCTCGACATACAATTAAGTTACTTATTTATGGGTTAAAGGGTTATCTAATCATTGAATACTGCCAGCTGTTCTTTTGCAGAAAACAATTCGAGACGTTTGAATAAAAGACTGTTTCGATCAATATAGATATAATTTAAGCGCGTCATTATTATAAGCTCTTAGTACGTATATCAGCATGAACCTTATTTATTATTGAAACATTTTAAACTTAAATTTTGAGTTGGCATTCAATTAGAGATAATTAAGTCGTCATAAAACTACATTTTGTTGCTAATGCCTCGGAAATGGCATAAACTTGTTTTTGTTTGTTTGCCTACCCGCACATTCTTAAGTAATGGATATGTTCACCAAATAATAGAAAGTTAATGACATTATTTCGTTCATTTCTATTTTAAACATTTTCTAAGTTGAACATAAAAAGGCTTTATTCGAGTCCGCCCTGGAACTAACCAGTACTGGTGTAATATAAGGACACATGGCCGTAGCCCGATTAGGTCTGGAACCCAAAATCCCTTGGATTAGGCACGTTGACCACGATTACTCAAACCAAAATAAAATAGATTGAGTTTTGTGGAATATATCAACGAATATCGAACATATACATATATTCCTCAAAGTTTATATATTTCTATCAGGTTTTTTTTTGGAAAAAGGTAATAACAATGAATTCTTTTTCTGTGTTTTTGTACATCTATGAAAATAATTTCCTGACATTTTAACACTTTGTTTTAATATATTGATACATGTAGCATTGAAAGCTTTTATTAGAATTCTATTGATCAAAATTATCTTTACCAAATCATATTTATTCCCTTAAACAACAAACTGTCAACTTATATCTTCTTTTTGTAAGTCTTTTGTTTAAAAGTTATAGCATTAATATGTTTCATTAGACTTATCAACGACTTTTTTGAAATGGTTTAAGTTAAATGACAATAATTCGAACGTTAAATATGTTTTGAAATATGTTTACAAAGTCATTATTACTGTAAAAGCCAACCTTTGGTCAAACCAATGAATTATACATTTTTGATACTAAGTTTTGAAATGAAATAAGCTTAATGATTTATAGAATTGTAAGTAACTAAAATCGGAAATGTGTCAAGCCAAGGTAAAGGAAAAGTGTGATATTACACATGTTTATAATTTCAAACCATTAAACTGATCAGGTGTATACACTGTTAAGCAACTTGAAAAATGTGAAGGTCAATAAAAATCCATTTAAATAGCAAATAAAAACACACACTTAAAACCAATTTAATGTACATTTATATATATAGTAGATTTCACTGATACCGTGAAGTTTTAAAGTACACCTTTTTATTACAATAGCGTAAAGGTTAGGGAATAAAATGGCCAATATGGTGTATTATATATTTAGAGTATCATCACTATTAAGATTATTTTTATATGTATATAATACAGATTCACTTGTTCGGTGTCGATGCATAGTAAATTAAGTATACAGAACATGACATAAGAAATGTTTCATTTTCAATATGCATGTATATAGAGTTTATAAATGAATTCTGATAGTATAGTCAATCTAATAAGAGTGAAATTTTTAATATTTTTCTAATCATTTATATATGTTAATATCCATTTGTGTTCGGATATGTTATATAAACACAATGGGAATGATATATCTCTGATATCAACTCTCGTTATAATTTTCTTATATCTATAAATAATAGAATGAAAATACATCACATATGTATACAAACATGCATGTATTGTCTTAACATAACATGTATTTATTTCAATATTAATATTTTGAGCTATTATTTGATATCATTTGACTGTACTTTATTTTGTTTTATGTAGAATAATACTTATATTCGTTTAGTTATCTTTCACTTGTATACATTTTTCTTTAATACTTTAATTGCTTATCACATCTTAGATGACTTTCTGAAACTCTTATACAAGATTTATAATTATGATACATGTACGTATTTTGGTGTAGACAGCGGTTTGTAAATGTATAAGGAGACAAGTTACATTCACTTATTTAAGTTGATATATACTAATACCTTTTTCGTGCTCGATAAACAATAAAATGGCACTGCATTATTCTAAATATATAAAATCAATAATGAGGGATTAAGATTTAAATTTAAAAAGTCCCACTCCCCAATTAAACTCGAACTTAATAAGTTCAACAAGTAATTTAATTTCACCACTAATGTACCCACTTTAGAACATGTTCCTCGACAGCTATTTAAATAGTATTGTTATGTATCCCTATATCTTTGCTGAAAATGATAGTCATAAAAAGTATATAATTTTATTGACAGGTTGACAATGCGCGCAATATGAATAGAATAGATATACGATATAATTGTTTAACTTTTTGTATATCAAATTTCATTAAAGTACAAAGGTATTAAAGATCATTTAATATGATACCAAGTGGGTTTCTATTCTATCATAGAATTGTGTTATCTAACCTGTAAAAGGAAAAAAATAGAATGTTTGGTCAGGCGGGCCGTTAAAATTTTAAGTTTACTTTAATCTCTATAAAATTATGACATTGTAAATACGTATTTTATTAACAATAACTTACGTGACATAAAAGTATTAATTAACTGCTTAGACACACAAAACTGCAAATGTGTTTTTGACAAGTTTGTTTTTGTCAAAATCAAATCATTCGGTGTAAGATTACGTCGATCCCTTGCTTATTATTGAAAAAAAGATTTAACAGCAATTACATTATTGTTGTAACTATCACTTATTATTATGTAATGTTTATCATACTATTTATTTATTTAAGTCTCATTCATGTACATACAAATTCTAAAATGCATAAGCATACATAATAACACAAATAGTACAACACCATTCAGACATTGATTTATAAGACACTTATAATACATTGTAATATCAGAGCACAAAATATTATACTTATTATAACACATATCCTGTTATAAATAATAGCTATCTACACAGTTAATACATCATAAATAAATGAAAAGAAATATAGCTATTTTCATGGTAAAATCCAGGTTTCGGTCGCAATTTTTTAAATTCTTAATTGACTTTAAAAAAAACCCAAAAAACAAAAACACGTAGATCAGGTTAATTGGCATGTAGGTTACAGAGGAACGCGTTCCTCAACCCTATGGTCCATAGACGGTGAAGCGAAGAATTTTTTTCGAGCATTGTAACATTTTTCAATATATATGAATTAATTTGGGAATGAGATACGCATTATTATATCAATTATACCTGTATGTAGTTTGATTTCATGAATGATATATATGCCGCGCCACGACAAAACCAACATAATGGGTTTGCGACCAATGTTCGCTTAAAAACCCTATAACAAGTAGAGAAACTGATAGCGAACAGCATGGATCCTGATCAGACTGCGCGGATGCGCAGGATGGTCTGGATCCATGCTGGTCGCAAACCCATTATGTTGGTTTTGTCGTGGCACGGCTCAATAATATTATTACATTATTATTATATTATTACATTTTTTGTTTCCGACAATAAATTATTTTGTTCATTTATTTATCTATTTATCTTTTTAATTTCTTTCTTTGTTTTGTTGTTTATAAATTTTAGTAATGACAATGATAACAACGTTTGATTATTTTTGTATACCACGTTTCAAGTTTCGTTTACAAGGTATGATTATGACAGTAATCCATCTTTTTACTTAAGTACTATTGTACCTTACTTATACAACACATGTTGTATATGTAAAGTGATGTTTGTTGTTGTTGTTGTTTGATATATTTTGATAAAAAAAACTATAAATGGAAATAAATATCCAGTAACTTACCTGTGTACAGGAAAATGTTTTTGAGAATGAAACATTTACAATGGAGAGACTGTTGAATATTCCACATATTATTTTCACCGAAATAATATCTCAATTAGGAATAAAACATCACACAATGTCGTCATATTTACCACACAATTTTTATACCATTTTACATGGTTTTACTTCTGTTTCAAAGAGCTCGTTTAATTCATAATTAATTAGGTAACTATAAAAGATATATCGCGAAATCTAATTATTTGTACTTCTAATTCCTTCTTTATCTGAGTCGATCACAGCAAAATTTAACACTTGTTTATCTCAACATGTTATATCAAATACAAAAATAAGCTTTCATCCATGCTGTAAATGCCGAATTTTCTATGCGAATCCTTCAAAGTAAATAATTTTACAATGAAATAAATCAATCAATAGGCGGTATTATATTTCGAATACTAAACTTCGTCTTCCAATGTTTAGGTCATTGAAGCACGGCGTGTGTTTTAATGTAACTATTGGCGTTAAATAGTATTGTTACAGTGTAATAGGAAATCTTTTGAAATTTAGATAAGCTTCAACGTTTATGTTAAGATATATCCACATTTAAACCTATCCAAAATATGTATTACATTAAGGTCAATAGATCGGACAATTATATGTTTAATAAATGGACAATCAGACTTTATACATGCAATCTGATAAGCGTTTTAAGCAATCCAAAGCATGTTTTCGTGTTAACAAAAGGACAGTGATATATTCAAACCGGATCTTTGTAAAATATCTAACCGGAACAAATCCAAGTCAAACTTCAAAATTATTTATTACCATATCATTTAAATCTTATATATAAATATTCCATAAACAATTATCAAAATGCTATCTAATATTTCATTACAGGCTTCCAGATTGTAGCAGGTATCTTAATATGGAATCCATAGAGAAAAAACACTCTTAATATTCACAAGGACACGAGCTCAAAAAAACGTCACTAATTATAACAAATTACAAAAAAAACAGTGATCCATTGATTCCATTATAATAAATACAATTATCAGAGAGAAACACTTTTGGTATCAATATACATTTTGTTTCTAGCAATATTTCATTGAATATTATCCCATTCAATGACATGCTGTTTAACTATTCAGAAGCTTTCATATTTCACTTGGGTACAAATCACCTGAGAGGAAATCTATTGATTTGAATTCTGGCAGGATATTGGATTTTATGGATTCTGAAAGACACAGGTTATGCTATATGAAATACCATTTCTGATAATAGAATCACAATAATAAGTCCAATAGTATCCGAACATAAACCAATATATCTTAATTGAATTATTAGACCGCCCGAGGTTACAATGAAAAATAGAAAATTATTGTGTTAGGAGCTAATGGTAGACTTTTAACAAGACTCTTTTTCCGCCATTTATACACTTAATTCAATTAGATTTTTATTTCTTATGACTGTAATATATTTTCCTTTTTAGAAATTGCAATACATTCATTTTAGTTCATCCCACCAAGGGTGTATAAAACGTCAATTAATTGCATTCATAAATGAATAAATGGAAAAAAAAATCATTTGCTTATATTGTGTCACAAATTCTATATATCAAAAATATAATATTATGAGACTTCATTTCTCTAAAGAAAAACAATTATATAATATAGGTATCTACTTGTTCTTCCATAAACTCCAACTAAACATCTTGCAAAACATAGGAAATGAAACGATCGGTGTGTGTGCCGGGGGGGGGGGGCAGACTGGGGATGGGGGTAGCGTAAAAATCCATTGGCAGGAAACGTGGTTGAACTCAGATTTCTGTCTCGATTTCTGTCGGAGTCACTCCTTATTTCCTAAAGCGAGATAATGTCGGATGGGGCCTGTCGGGTACTGGAATGCAATTATTTTTAAAGGCATATTACTTTACTATTTGAATTTATGGAAGATCAAAGTGAGCTATATATATACAGTCAGGTAATTCTCCGTTCATGACATAAATAAAGTAATATCCGGATTATAATGCTCAATCCTGCCTACCTGTTTACCTGGAGGATGTTCCCCGACTTACAAAGGATACATTGATTTTAGTTTGATTGTGTACAGTGTCTCTTTTGTCATATCGATAAGTGTGTGTTGAGTGTAGTACAATGTAGACAACTTCATAATAATTGATGTATTATTATTATTATTATTATCATTTATAATTTAGTGTAGTAATATTACAGTAATTGGACCCCATTAGAAATAAGCTTTTAGCTTAATGGGCATTCCTATTGTAACATAAAACTTACAACTTAATTTTATACTTATTTTTGTTGCATTGTTCCATGTTTTATATGCATGTTGATATGCATGACAATATAGTATGTGTTTGTGTATATTTCCCTGAATAAGTCGATAGATCAGTTTAGGAAGTGTCTAACGATATAAAGCTCTATAAATCTATGTATTCCATACAGTAGGCTAGTGTTTTTCATTTTACAGTGAAATCGTTATGATGTTTCAAAATGATGATTCTCAAAAGAAAAAACAAGAGTATTGGTTTGCCACTTGAAATTGTTTAAAAATGAAATAAAAGAAGACGCATACAAAATATTATATTTACATTCAGAAACAAACACACACAAAAACAGTGGAATGGGTTTGTAAAAAGCGAAAGCAATCAGGCGTGCATGTACATGTATGTTCGGATAATGCGACACTATCAGGGGGTAGGCTGTTCAAAGGGAAAACTGTTCTTGGGCAGAAGGGGAATTTGTAGTTAGCTGATCTTGATATAGCCTATAGCTGAGTGCATGGGCGTGTCGGTGGGTCTAAATCCTTCCTAATGAGGTAAGCTAAACTTAATTCTGTAGGGATAGCAACCATATCATTGGTGTCTTTATACATCATGGAGAAGCCTACAGTTAACACGACGAAGGTCTAGTCGGCGCTATTCAAGTGACTGTAGTATTTGTAACTAGTGCGTCCAAAGTCAGATACATTGTAAGCCCAACGCGCAGACCTTCTTTGCAAAGGATCTATCTGACCAATTTGGGTATGACTATTGAGGGATACATTTTAGTTGTGGTACTGATCATGTGCTCGTCCCTCGAAAGATTATTTGGTTGGTGTTAACGCCTCCAGTGATATTCCATGAAGAGAATAATTAGTTGGTATATGATATTTTCTCCTTGTGACATGGATAACTTAACATCTGGATTGGTCGACCTTAATTCATGTCCTAATTCAACTCACACTCTTCAAAGGTATTTATTTTTTTAAGGGTTTTCGGCTCCTGGCAAATTTGCGAATTTTTTACCCTGTCACAGTGTGTGGGAGACAATTTGTGTATGTAGTTTAACTTAGGCCTCGACATTAGCGGTGGTCCGTTGGTCCGAGACCACCTGATTTTGTCAAGGACCACCTAATTTTAAAAGCCACTAGTCCGTCGGACCACTTGAATTTTCTGGTTGGTGCAAGGCTCATTTGGGAAAATGGCGATTTGGTCAAAAACATGTTATATACATTTTGTTTAAAATTATTTGTCCGATGTACATGTATATGGTTCATAAAATATACAAACTACATTAATCTCTGATTAGTTAAAGAAGTTCTTAAGTCATTAATAACTTTCATTTTCAGTCGCCAATATTTTGTTTACTCAAGTTAAACAAGTAAATGAAGTTAAGAATTTGTGATATTAATTTTGGTACAAAAGTTATTCAAATGATGCCAGTAATTATGCATCATCGGATACCCACGGCGGAACCATTTACATTTATGTTATGTTACATTTGAATCAACCGTGGGTATCTGGCGATGGTAATTATGATTTTGTATGGTGTATCGGATAAACTTAAAAATTTCATACTTGAAATACTTCACTTGAATAATGGCAGCAACGAAAGGAACTGTAAAAATACATCTTGTAATTCTTTGCTACTTTTCTTTATTTTAACTGTTTAACGATAAGAGATCCATTTCTTCCAGAGTTAAAATTACTTTAAAAGGTTAAAAATATTCAATGTCAAAAATAAATATCAACCAACGAGCAACAGGGAGGTAAATATTCTGTATTCATAATGAATTAGTGAGAAAAATAAGCTTAACTAGAGATATATATATAACATTGTTATTATTTTTTATCCTTTAGATATTTCCTTGTTTTCAAAGACAAGAATAAGATAATTTATTAATTTTATTAAAAATGTTAATCTATAAAAGATGCATGCAATTATCATGATTATAAGACGTACCACGTATCAGCAATGTATATTTGAATAACAGTCAGAAAATAACAGACACAAATGGTTTTACTATTCCCTTGAGTTGAGGGAGAAGTCATTTCAATATTAAAGTTAACATAAATAAGCGTCCTGTTGTTTATTTTTTAATGAGATAAAGAAACAAACAAATAACTTCACGATAGAATACCTACTAACTTGCTCTCCTTAATTTCCGATTAGATAAAAATAAACATCTTAAATATCTGTTTTATTGAAGGTTAATACATCTTTGTCATCAATTTAAGCATATATTTTCTAAATTTGCAGTAAATTATATAATGATAAAAATTGACCACCTGACTTCTGGAAGGACCACCTTAATTTCAAATCTAGTGGTCCGGCTTACCACCTGCTAAAAAGTTAGTGTCGATGCCTGTAAGTTTAGTTTAATAATATTTTATTGTATAAATATACACACAATATACAATTAAATAATTTTACAGACATAATCAAGTGTACATACAAAAGGGTTGGGCCAAAAGTTCTAACAACATTATCGTGGGCCCTTCCGTGTATGTACGAAAGAGTACCGGTCCCTTGAGGGACTCTAGAAGAACATGTAACCAGGATGACTACAAAATACTACAGATTGGTGTCTATTGTCATCTATTTATTTAAACGTTTTTGAGAATGCTTATTATATATAGGAGTCGCGAATGTGCTCTAGAGGTTTACGGAGTGCACATTTACTGAATAAAATTTCAGTCTGTCATTCATGTCTATCACCACCTGACAACTCGCAAGAATATCCAAACCTTTCAATAAGTGCAAATGGCACAAAGGGTGACTGACCAGTGTATTATTTCCAGAAAATGACAGGCCAATTTCTCTGACATGTGCACTCCGTAAACCCCTAGAGCACATTTACGAGTCCCAAGCTTTCTCAAAAACTTTTTAGCAGCTTTTAGACCACTATAACATCAAAAATTTAAAAAAAAATAAAAAAATAAAATAAAGACATTTCAGAGGCATGGAGGAAAATAATAGTGTTATGCGGCCTAGCATCCACCATTGCGCATGCGTCGTATCCAGAGTGGCACTTCCGTAAACAAAATGTCGTCAACAATGTTTTTAAATAGAACAATACCTAAAAATCCAGACGACGATTTTGTATTGCATGGAAGATCAACAGCTTACTGGTAATTTAAACATCATTCACTTCAACAAAAATAAAATCCAGCATGTTTATGCATCGTATATATTAAAACATTCATTTGTTATGGGATTTCGCGACAGTTTAAAATTTTGGGTTGGATCTATCCATCTATCTTCCGTTTATGTCAAACCCCTCGCGGGACATAGACATGTCTACGTGTCAAAAATCGCAAGAAAGTTAAAAAGAGTTGTTTAAAAGAGGATAAAAGAATTTTAAAAATGTTCATTTGGAGGGTGACTGCATGATGTCAGAGCAAAGTATTTTGCAGTATCATCTGCAAACAAGCGGATCTGGGAATAGGGAAAACTCTGTTTTACCCATTTCTAGCTTAAAGTCTTCAGCGTACCCGTTTATATACTATGACATGACATGAACACTGAAGACAGACCCATAGGGAAAGTCCACCAATAATCTAGTCCTTCATTGAAAGACATCGCATTTTCTTTTTTTTACAGTTTGACAGTCTTTCCATAACTGGCTAATTTCCCATAGCACAAATCGACACGCTTCTCGAGTCGATTTGAATTTACCGGTAAATCACAACTTAAATGCTATTTATCACAAAAAGCAATTGATTGCATGAAAGACGGAAGCATATTTTCCTAAAAACTGTAAAAATATGCAAAAATTACTCACGATAAGTAGTTTATTTAGCCATATATTTAAGAAGACACATTAAAGATCAGGGCTCGAATTTAACTTTTTTGGCCACTAGCAATTTTTTGCTAGTGGACAAATTTTTAACTAGCAAAAACTGAATTCAACTAGCACTTTTTACGACAATGATTTTTTAATTCCAAAATTGTTTAAAATTGTAATTTATTTGGACGAGTTCGAACTGCCCGGGGTACGAATCAGCAACGTAACTTTCTACTCAAAAACTTGATTTAGGGGACAGGGATTCTTATCAAATGTCAATCTACATGTAAAAAAATAATAATGCAATATTGTCGCCATACCGACGATGTCTGGTCTGGATTATGCGCACAACAATCGGCGCAAAATATTTTGGCAACATTTCCATCGTCATCGTGTTCGTACGTAAGACTGACGTGCAGTTCTTTCTCCCAATTTTTAACCATTTTAACTGAAGGTCTCATTGACTTTCTTTTGATAGACTGTGAATCATCTTCTGTACTCAGAGTATTGTTATCGGAAGACACATTTGCTTCATTAAGTGGGAAGAAGTTCGTTATTTTTCGTTTAGACATTTTATTCCGATCACGCTTGATTTACACGGACAAAATGACATTTGGACTGGTTTAAATTTGTGTACTTTTTTAAGCGAGGTTAAGGTATAGAAAATGTAAACCAGACAGCAAGTGCGCGCATAGTTTATAACTCGGCTTCCTGCGAATATTACGCCCCATTTATATTTCGGATTTTCCTGACAAGCGTATTCCATTTTTTCTTCAACTCGCAAAAAATTGCGAGTAGTCATGAATCTAACTCGCAAAATCATTTTTCAACTAGCATTTTGCGAGTTTGCGAGTGTTAAATTCGAGCCCTGAAAGATATTTTGTGTTGACCCCCATATTGGAAATTCCTGGTCATGCTGTGACGTCACTCAATAGTATGAAATTAGTCTGAACGAAAACTTTTTCTGTTGTGATTTAAGACGCTGACAGGTGCACGCAGTAAAAATTTCGTCTAAAAAATTTGGTTCCAGTAATCACCGCATTGCGTAAGTACACACAATATGGAGGCTGTTTACACAATTTTTACACGGGATTTGTTTTTAATTGTTTAAAATTTGAATAAGTTGATTTTGATAAGGAAAATACATAGTTGTGGTAGGATTATGATTATTTGTAACATTTTGCATCGGAAGTTTGAATGATTGTGCATGTTTATTGTTTTTTATTTTGCTATGGATTTTTAAATAGATATCTTTAGACGTTAAAGCGGATTTGACCCATGTAAAAAATAGCTTCAAATCCGCTGTTACGTCTAAATATTTGGACTACCAATAATCATGCCAGAAATCTGACATGCTCGTATTCATTCATCGAACATGCCATGAAGTAAAGTGAAGCATGAAACTATATATAATCTGTTGATAAGCCAAGGACGGACATATAAAAAACTTATTACAAACATAATCTACCTAATAGTTTCTGACAGGTAAAAAAACCGGCAATATCCGGTTATCTGCCCCCCTGGGGCAGAAAAATTGTTATCTGTATTTTTATGACCGTCTTGTGGTCAGCCCTACTGATCTGGATCATTCAGGCGCTTAGAACATATCACACCCGCATGCGCAAAAAATAAAATATTTACGTTCCAATATGCGTGCGTAGTGAGCTGTGAAAGAACAATCTTCTAGCAATGTGTTCATACAGGATTTAACATAATAAATATCCTCTATGGAATGAACTCCTACATTTAGACAGCTAAAATCACTTCAGTATATCGTTCATTCCGTAAAAAATAACTGACGGAATGAAGTTATACATTGATACTGCTTATATCATTTCATTATATCGTTCATTCCGTATTAACATAGCCGACAAAATGAATTTATACACTGATACTGCTTCTATCATTTCATGATATCGTTCATTCCGTATTAAAATAGCCAACAGAATTAACTTATACATTGATACTGCTCATATAATTTCATCATACCGTTTTAAAATAGCAGACGGAATGAACTTGTACATATATACTAATAACATCGTTTCAGTTTATCGTTCATTCAGTATTATATAGCCTAATGCATATAATTATATCGCCGATATATATACTCCGGTTATCAGTCCCGGGGCAGATACGTACTAGGCATTCATAATGTTACTTTAATGTCAGTAAAAAAATCATTCCTTTTATGCTTATTAAGACAGTACCCTCAAAACATTGCCAAGCCCCATTTTTTAAAGCATGATGGCCCCCGAAGAAAACCCTCTTCCCGGGGATTACTTCCCCTTAAGTAGCATTTAATTATTGTTAGTAAATTATTTCGTCGCTATATAATATACTCCCGTTATCAGTCCTGGGGCAGATATGTACTAGGTATTACTTGTATGAAAGCCTTGGCAATGTTTTTGGGGGGTACTGTGTGAATAACTTCATACGGATTGAACGTTATTAACTCGTTTTATCACTACAAATACTTAGTACGCATCTGCCCCGGGAAGGAAAACCGGATTATATATAACTACATGTGTGTGATTAAATGATATTACCCTTTTGGTAGCCCTTACATACCTAACTGTCTATACTGCTGTATAGTCACGTAACAATGAATTTAACAGTAATTTAAGTTACACGGATGACAAAACGTTCAATAACATTTTCATGAATTTTTCCAGTTTAAAATAAAGCCAAAGAAAGTTATAATAAATATTAAACATTTTGCAAGTGATAATGAAAACATTACTGAATTGATTTTATTTTATAGTGAATGAATCTTTCAAGATATGTAATGTACACATGTACTGACATGCTTAAATGAGAAATTAATCTTGCAGAAAAGCGCCAAATTTTTAGTGCTTCCTTCGGAGTAACCTCAACCAATGAAATTCAAGGAAAAACAAGCGTCCACGAGATCATGTTTTTTGGATGAACTAATCTGCCCCAGGGGGCAGATAACCGGATATTGCCAAAAAAACCAAGCACTTGGCCGCCATATTGCCAAAATGTTTGACCATGTGACCTTTATGGGTTAATTTGTTCGGACGGTTAAGAAAACATAACCCATCATGTGTTTCTAACCATTTTATAAATTGCTTTTTTTGAAGATATTGAAACAGATGATTTACTGGCTTTTGTATTAAATATAATTTTATTTAATTATTGGAAAATTAAAGAAAATGGATGAATTATAAGTATTGAAATCACGCCAACAAAGATGTTATTAATATTGTACATGACTCTACTCTAATTGGTTCCCGCGAGTCCGGTCATAGGAGGTCTGGTGTAGCTCTTAAATGTCATGGCCGATTGTAATCGGTGTAATTGATGTTTCACCAAGATATAATGGGGACAAACAAATTTTGATATTTTTATTTGATCCTTTACCTCTGGTGACCTTGACTTTCATTTTGCGCAAGACAACTCGACTGACCATGGAGTACATTTGTATAGAAGTTATATTCACCAATGAATGTTTTAATTTGTTATTTGACATTTGACCCTGAAATAAAACCTTGACCTTTGCCACGGACACCTGAAATTTTTGCGCAACACTGCCTCACTATGGAGAACATTTGTACCAAGTTATATTAAATTTTATTATCCCGCCATGCATGTACAAGTTACGCTCCGGACACAGCTTTTGTGCTGACCCCCCAAGTGTGACCTTGACCTTTGAGCAGTGAACTTTAGTTTTGCGTGTGACACACCACCTCATTATGATGAACATTTGTATCAAACTATTAAGTAATCCTTCAACGAATTAGCAAGATACTGGACAAATCTAGACCGACGCACATACATGAAACTGCCAAAAGTGTAAAATGGCAACTAAGTCAAACTCAACACAAGTGGGCTCAACAATTTTTAAATCCTCTGACCACTAAGCAAAATTTCTTCAAAGCATCAGCAAAAACAGAGCCAACAAACAAATTTTGATATTTATATTTAACCTTTGGCATCTTGTGACCTTGACCTTTATTTTGCGCAAGACAACTCAACTCAACATGGGGAACATTTGTGCTAAGTTAAATTAAAATCCATGTATATAGAAGTTCTTCTCGCAAATGTATGTTTTATTTTGTTATTTGACCCCAGCTTTTGCTACAGACACCTGAATTTTTCGCGTGACACTACACCTAACTATGGAGAATATTTATTCCAAGTTATACTGTAATCCCTCCTTGCACGTAAAAGTTATGCTCCTTTCATGGGTTTTGTGCGGACTCCCAAGTGTGATCTTGACCTTTGAGCAGAGGACCTGGATTTTTGGGTGCGACACACCACTTCATCATGGTGAACATTTGTATCAAATTAATTTGTAATCCACGATATAGACCGGACAAATCCAGACAGATGGACGCACATACACTAAACTATATGCCAAAAGTGACGACTCAGTCAAGCTTATTGCAAGCGGGCTCTTCAAAAATGGGGTTATTAATAGTTGGGGCAAATCATTATAATCATTACAGGTGTAGGTCCCCAAATTGTGGTTTGACATTCATGGGAAACAATTGAAAGTATCTTTTCTGTCTTAATTTTTTTCATATTATTTATTGAAATACACACATGTACCAGGTTTAAATAAATAGAATTTAACTTTGACATATTTTTGTTACACTCTGACTGTGACAATCAAGAAGTCCATTGATTTTTAGTTTTCAATTAAATATTTTTGATTTGCTTTGTATAAAGTTACATTTCTTTGAATGTCTCAAGATTTTCACTTTGCTAGTACTGTTTCTTTGGTTTAATAATTCTCACCTATTTCAAGCTAATATAATACATATCAATATTTTTATATTTCAGGGAAAGAGAAGAATGTCCCACAAATTCACAATTAACTCTCACCACTGCAAGATTAAGCCAAAATGACATTTACAACCCTGATAATTATAGAGTGAGGAAACGTGAAAAGAAATATGCCACAACCCTCTCAGATCTTGCCAATAATTTGGAATACCTAAGTGACAGAGTGGACACCACTCTTAGTAAAGGTGTCACATTTAAGAATGATGATAGAGAAATTGAAGAAGAAATACGGCGAGAACTAAGACAGAGAGTGGATGCATCATCTTTTACAAAACCAGTTAAATTGACTGAGAGCCTTAGGAGAGATCTAGATGAAGATGATTTGTTAGAATTATATGAGAAACATGTAGGTGAGATTGATGATTTTTCGGGAAAACCAACATCACCTAGGGATGCACAATGGTATGTTAATCCAAACCATTTGGACACAACCAGTGAGGCCCCAACTATGCAGAGTATAGGTAAAACATACAGATATGGAGATAGATGCAAGAGTGAATATGCTGACAAAGACAAAGTAGCATTAGACAATTTCCCGGTAACTCTAGGTTCATCTTATGAGTTATGTGCCCTTGACTTCCCAGCATCTGACCCATTAAATCAAACAGCACCACCATCTCTGAGAACTGGAAGATCTAAGTCAGCTTCTAGAATTGGCAGATCGCACACATTTAGGACTGTAGACAAGTCATTCAACCCAGAACAGAATTTAGACAAATTGTATCTTATGACAAAAGAAGCCCCAACTATAGGTAAATATAATTTAGTATAGGTGAGCAACAACTAGGGATAAAAAATTGATCATACTGTCTGAAATAAATGTCATTTAATTGCTACTGACTTGGGTTCAAGAGGTCTTGAATAACATGCACTTAAAATATCGATAATTAAAAATATAATTAAAAAATGTATTGAAAACAAGACTTTAGATCTAGCCAATATATGCGTGTATATATGTGTATATCCAGAACTTTTGCAGTCTTGAATATATTCCTTTATGTTTACATTATGTAACAACCATTGTATCCACAAGTCATTTGTTGTTTCAGGAAGTTCAACTGTACAATTTGCAACTCCACATGAGCTGATCCTGGGAAAACTTAGAATGGAAAGATTAAAACTTGAAGAGGCTAAACTGCTTGAATTGAAACGATTAGAAGAACTAGAAAGAACAAGGGGACCAAAGCCTAAATGGTAATTATTATTAGACATTGTGGTTCAGTCAATAAATTCTTAGAACAGAAGTTTTTAGCTCGACTATTCCCAGACTACTCAAGCTAATGCAGTCACCCTGACTCACCTATTTATTGGCGTCCCTGTTAAAATGCCCTTTTTTTCGACTTAAAAATTCTTGGTTTAGTTTTTGTGTGTAAGCTGGTATCTCCATAACTAATGAAGGCAACGGATTGAAACTCCACATGCTTGTTTTCTGTGATTATCTAACATGATTGGCACACATTTTTTTAACTCTGATTTGCTTTTTTGCATAATTATGCCCCTTTTTCAACTAAGAAATTTGTGGTAAAGTGTTTGCGTGTAAGCTGGTATCTACATAACTTCTGAAGGGAATTGATTGAAACTTCACACACTAGTTTTCTGTGATTATCTTACAAGATTGGTACAAGTACCATAACTCTGATTTGCTTTTTTTGCATAATTAAGCCCCTTTTTCAACTTAAATTCCTGGTCAAGTTTTTGCATGTAAGCTGGTACCTCCATAACTACTGAAGGGTTTGTGCCTTTTTTGTGACAATTTTATGCATTCATAATAAGCAGGGATTAACTCGATAAAATATCTTAATAATAAGCCTTTATATCTTTTTGGGACAATTTTATGTATTCATATAGGTAATCATTATGTTACTCAATGAAACACCCTCGTGACAACTTTAGAATTGACAAGCGTAGCTGTCCTCTGACAGATCTTGTTGTATTCACAATAGATGCTTTTTGATTTGTTAGACATTTAACGGTAATTTTGAACCATGCAGGAAACCTTGTTGTGTTGTTGCTTACTTTTTCTTTGGGTGGCAAATATGGTATACTCATTTTGCAATTTGATATATTTTTATTTGCAGTTTACTGTGTCAGATGTTTTATGTGTTTCTTGCTCTTTTGAAGTACATGTTCTTCTGTGGAAAAATTATAGATTTACTGTGACACTGCTAAAAGTTTGTTAAATTTTTATTCTCCATCTCCTTTTGTTTTTACAGGTATGAATCCAAAGGTCCAGAATTCCACTACGAATCACACAAGAATACGCAGCTAATACGGTCTGTGTCCGACTACCAGGATATGTTAGATTACAGGGAGGACCTTCTCAGATCATCGTATGACAACTTGAAGAAATATAATAGATCTCTACTTCTTGCATAATGAAGAATTTACTTGACAAAATTTTTTTTCCTCCCCACTGATGGCATTTTAATTTGGTTTTAACTGTGATTTAAAATATTTTATACAATGTTTGACTCATTTTAATCAGTATTTATTTTTCTTTTTGCTTTTTTGTTTTCTGTATTTTGGGATTTTTCATTACCTAGTGAAGTCTTTTTTTGCTTTATTTAGACTTTCGAAAATATAGAAGATCAATAAAAAAGAAAACACCTTTATATTTACAATAAATGTTGTTGTTTTTTCCCATACTTACAAATATTTTATGTTTTTTTTTTCCCGAAACTTGAAAAATCATTGTGATATTTCATTTCAAAAATGATGTCTTTATTTATCCTAAATTACTCATTAATTTTGGTTTAGAAAATCTCTTTGGTATATAATTAAATATTTATATGTTTATTTTCCAAAATGTGGTTAAAAAAATCATCATATTTAGTATGTGATTTAAAAAAAAATCAGGATATTTAGATAATGCTTTCATTATGAGTAAACTTCTGTGAACTGATCGGTAGACTCTGTATGTTATTGTTTTATATTGGCCATGCTTCTAGATCTGTATTTTGCTATTTACAGGCATAATATTATATACTTTTATCAAATTTACATCAGCTTATACCTTTCATTTAATTTACACATATATTTGTTTTTGTTTTTTAGTACATGTATCCATTATGGAAAAGAACAAAGTAGTATATTGTATAATCTAGTCTGTAGGAGTTTTATTTAACCCACCAGTATTCTATGTTAAATGTGTTGTTATTGTTTTAACTTTACATATGCTCAATACGTGATATATTTTTATGTTTCTGTTATTAATTGGTAGCTCGATATTCCTTTCTATTATTTCATCAGATTTGAAGGATATAACTCTTTTCCTGAATTGGTTCTATTTGGGACAAAAAATAATTTAAATTATAATTATTTTAAGTCCCAGGTCCTATACTGAAATTCCTTCAAACCAGGAATGTTTTTTATAAACATTAACGTTTCTGTTCATACAAAAAGAATGTTTCTTTACCAGAATTTAATGTATATTCATTTATTTAGTTTTATTTTCAAAGACCATACTTCGTCATATGTCAAATTAAAGGGATGTAACTTAACCTGAATTGAAAGATATTTTTCAGTAGTGCTTGTCTCCCATTAGTTAGAGCCATATTTACTGCCTCTTGCACCATGTATACAATGTTGTTTGAGAATTCTTAAGAAATTTGTTTTTTAACAAGTCAATGTTCATTGGTTTTGGATTAAGAATATATATGAGCCGTGTCACGACAAAACCAACATAGTGGGTTTGCGACCAGCATGGATCCAGACCAGCCTGCGCAGTCTGATCAGGATCCATGCTGTTCGCTTACAAACCCTATTACAAGTAGAGATACTGATAGCGAACAGCATGGATCCTGATCAGTCTGCACAAATGCCCAGGCTGGTCTGGATCCATGCTGGTCGCAAACCCATTATGTTGGTTTTTTCGTGACGCGGCTCATATTTTTATTAAGTCTAAGAGTGCATAGTGCATTGGTATACAACTGAACTAAACTGATCGTGCTGAACAAAAATTCTATTTTGAGTAATAATTATAATAATAGGTTCAGCAGATATAACCTGGTCCAATGTTCACTTCAGTTGAAGGATCAGAATCCAGATCAGGATCAAATTTAAAAACTCAAATATTCTATTGTTTATTTTCATGGATTTAATGTTTAATTAACTTGATAAAATATTGGACTAAAAATAGAATGTTTATGAAATTTTAGAATATGGGCATTTCACAGTTGATCCAAATATTGATCCTGATCCTTAACTTGATCTTTATTTTGATTTCATTATTTTTGTATTTGTTTTGTTATTGGACAATGTTATCCAGAAATAGGGTTGTAACTTTGTAAATCCGCAATTTTTTGCAATCTGCATATGTACCATTCAAATTCTAACAAAATACGATCAATTTTATTTTAATAAAAATATAATCAGGATAATTTGATCCTGATCCTAATATTTTCTTTGTGAACACGTGACCTGATGACATGTAAATTACATGGTTAATCACTGCTAATCTGTAAGTACTAGGTGTGCCTTTATTCTTATCCATTTTTGTTTTGAAAATAAAGTGAAAATGCCTGTATAAACATTTAACATTATTGCAGAAGATAAATACTTGTTACTTTTTAAAATCTATACATAGATATCTTTAATGTCAGGTGTATAAATTTGTACCAAATACTCACAGACAATACAACATAGTATATGGCTTTTGTACACAGAAACTTCATCTAAATAAATGGTGGCTCTAGTTCATGGATAGCCTGAAAACTTATCACACGGTTTCCAACTGTTATCATCCTTTTTACCAAAAAAAAAAAAAAAAAACACAACTATTCTACATGTACTCGTATATGCATTTACTTACAAGGAAAATATAATTATATGGAAGTGATATAAGCTTTATTTTTTCACTATATATTGCAGATTATGAAAAACCCTTATTGGACATACAATGTATATTTGGCTTTATCATAAGTACCAAAGTACATGTGCACTTATCTGTACATGTATACAATAATATGTGTTTAAATTTGCCACAGAATAGTTTAGAAGTGCTATATAGTAATATTTTTGCACACAGATATTTCTTTAGTAAAATGTTTCAACACTCACTGAAAAAAACGTTTTTTTAGACATGTAGTTTATATAAAGATGTTCACCTGAAGTAAACATGTGCATGTTAATTGTATGTTAATTATGTTATAAATTAGAAATAATATTTTAAAAGAGAAAATAAAGTATAAAAGAAATTTATTCAAGGTGCATTTTTTTTGTAAGACCACCATTGGGACTGGACCAAAGTGGTCTTAATTGCAGGGTGGTCTCAGTTGTGAATATTCTTATCATTGCTCTCATACTTTATGACCATGGTCTAACTCTATCTCAGTCATTTTGTATGAACAAACAATATGTATCTTAACCTAAAAATACAATATAAAACTATGTTATAATATTTGATTTGATGAGAGGAAAACATATTTCTGAAGAAATTTAATATTAAATTATCTTTGGTTTGCTTTCAATATTAATTATTATTATTATGTACATAATTCACCTATCAAAATAAGCAATTAATTCTTTACAAAAAATGTGATGAAAGCAACATTAAACCACTCTAACATTTACTGTCTCACCTAATTTCATACAAGAACTCAATAATAACAGTTTTTGACACTATGAAATCAAGTGTCATGCTTTAAAGAGCATTCAATCAGATAATAACAACAAATTTAAGGTCTAGTCTCACTAAAAAATAAGACGAAGACTTGGGACTGAATCTGGTGGTCTTAAAGTGGTTAAGACGGATTGTCATGATTAAGGATCATGCAACCTTTGATAGTTCCGTTCTTTTAAGAGAAAAAAAGTTTTAATAGTCCGGTGGTCTTAATTCCGGGATGGTCTTAAGCAGGGATTCTACTATTCCCCATTTGTGTATAAGCAACGTTCAAATAGTTCACTTTATTTCAATGAAACATTTGGAATATTTCTGTATTTTTGCAGCAGATATATGCGTAACCTCTAAAATTAGAATTTCCCTTCGATTTTACTATCTATAAAATGTGTTGAAATGACAAAGAACCATTATACATGCATTTTTTGTTATTAGACAAAAAAAATCCGGATGTGAAACGGAAACGCTGCAGACGAGTTCAAAGGAGAAGTCCTGTACATTTACGACATGTAAAAATATCAGTCTTTATTAAATCATATGTTGAAACTTGTTAAATGGTGGTTAGTAAGCAGTCATGATTTGAGTTCTGTAATTAAATATTGTACTCGAACATATACATAGTCGGACATTTTTCTGTGTCTGCGTATATTTTTCATGTATATTTTTCATCCGTCTCAAAGCTTCATATCTTAACACCTTGTTTTCAGAACAGTTGTGCCAAAAACTGTGCTATTTCTCTGATGAAATTATTATTAAGTGTATGTAGATTGGAATCGTCCATTGTTCTCCTATATATGCAAAATAAATAATATTTATGGTCATATATGGAATTCATACAGAACAGTTAGTAATGTCTATGTTGTATTCACAATAACACTATTACAAAGTTTTAGTAAGGGCTAGGTTCATATATTTTCTCATAATTCCTATAATACATTTGCCTTGCTGGGAAAATATGATTATAAACAAAACCACCAGACTACTGAATACAAATATATGTATTTCAAATTTCTATCTTGTCATTGTCAAACAAATTTCGTTATGTGATTTCGTCATGTACACGGATAGGGTAATGGTAATTTTTTTTTCAACATGATTTACGTGATTATGCTCTTCCTTGCTGTTGTTATCAATGTGTTTTTTTCTCTTCTTAAAAAAAGCAAATTAAAGCAACTTGTTATTTAAATAGATACAATAGTTACTGTAATATACTGCCTGTACTGAAGTAGCATATACAGATATGTCCGAATAATACTAAATGCACGAAAAGAAATTCCTTGGTAGAAAATTTCACAAATTTAATGATTGTTTTTTATCTCTTCTTTTAAAGTAAAAACAAGACCGGGAAATCACAAGACAATACACATAGTTTGTAACTGTCAAGAAACCGTGAAAAACGTTCCACAAAAAGGACGAATTTCTGAGCATCCACGTGCTGATTACACGACATTTGTAAAGACCTTTAATACTTAACGAGATGTCTCATTATTTTCCCATTCGTCTTTTTAGACACTAATTTTTAAGCTATATTGGCGATTTACAGACATTTCCACTTATTTGGTGCGATCTCAATAAAGTAAGAGAATGAATGAAATTAGCTTTCTGCACTGCACTTCTCATAACAGACCATCGTATGATATATTGTCTTAACCAGTCGCAACATTGCAGAATTAACTTTTTTACTTTTTTTGTGCCTTTGCCCATTATATATTCTTTAAAACATAATATTATAGAAGCGATAGATTATTGTACAGCATGTAATGAAATAGAAGTTGAATAATTGTGTTATGTGTAAAGCAAATTATTTAAAAAAAAAATGATGTATCGGGTATGACCAGAATTATTCTCAAATTATTCTTTTACAGGTATTTTTCTTATGAAATACTTAGCAGATGAAAGGAACATTACATGTACGATAGGTGGCATAGAACGTATGTGTATACCTATATATTTAATTAATATATTTAATTTTTATTAAGCTAATTAATACATTGATAAATAGTCTTTCACTTTATGTGTGCCTTGTCAATCGAACAAAAACCAGCCTATTTTAAGGGACCAAAAGTTTCTTTACAGAATATTATTATAATAGAAATTCAAGTTGGTATATCGTGTATTAATGAGACTTAGTATTAATAGACTCCAAACAAGTTTTCATATATATTGGCTTTATCCTTTTAATTACTCGCGGAACGCCGTGCTACATTGGCCCTTACCACAATGAACTTTTTCATCTTTCAATGTAGACAAAACCAAACATCATTTTAGGGTTAATTACAAAATATGAACTGACGAAATAGCGAACAGCGCAGGTTATAATCAGCCGGTACTGGTCGCAAAAGTAGATCCAGCTAGGAATGTGGTTAGTTCATGTAATTTACGATAATTTATATAGAGGATATTGAATGATAAATTTATTGAACGAGTTGAATAGAATCACATTATGCGAGCCTCTGGCGAGCATAATATTGTTTTATTCAACGAGTTGAATAAATTTAGTATTAAATCTACACGAATATAATATTCTTTTTATCACATATATAAAATATGAACTGTAAACTGTTAAAAAGAGTCATTTTTCATTGACGTGCCTATAGTGTAAACGCTAACATTAGCGCGCTTTAACATAGCGCAAATGACGTCACGTCAAAGTGTTATTACACTATTTTTTATAGTGTAATATCGTTTCTATTAAATGGCTTTATCACACACCCGTGCCGATTTTGCGACTCCGTAAATATGGTATTGCACGGCCGTGCATATATTTTGACGTGACGTCATTAGCGTTATACAAACATAGTGTAAAGACGCGCTAAATGTTAGCGTTATACTATAGGCGCGTCAATGAAAAATGACTCTTATTTCACTTAAAACGGTCTTTATTTTGGGTATGTGATAAATAGAATATTAAATTCGTGTAAGTTCATTACTGAATTTATTGCACGAGTTGAATAAAATTATATTATGCGAGCCTCTGGCGAGCATAATATTATTTTATTCAACGAGTGCAATAAATTCAGTATTGAACTTACACTCATTCAATATCCTCTATTTATTACACTCCTGCGCGGCGGTTTATGTGATAAATAGAATATATGACACATGTAAATAGTGTTTTTGCACTTAAATTACATGTAGTTCATGTATGTATATTGCACTTTTACTCTTCTTAGGCAGTTCTAAAAGGTTTCTTGCAAACATTCTACAGTGATATGCACTTTATACCAATTTAAATTTAGATACATTACGATACTTGAAAGTGAGGAAACCTTTAAGTTTGGTGACTTAAAGACTGTTTATTACCTCGAAGGCTTTTAAAGCCTATTGGAATAAAATAAAATGTCTTCTGCATGTGTATGCATACGCGGGAAGATCCCCATTTCTTGTAATTTGTACATTTTTTATTACTATAATCTATACAAACATTCGCATTTCTATATTTTATTCCGTATTTCAATAATTAAAGGTTGTAAAAGTAATAAAACGAAGAAAGTAGAACGAAAAAGATGAGCATTTTATTTAACTCAAGATAAATGCAAGAGATCAATTAAAGGGAGACTACCGCCATAAAAATACAAATCAGTCACAATTCTGTGCAAAAATATATTTGATTCCCTCCCTTATTTTCTTGGGAGATTATCGTCTGCTTGTGTCACGTGAGACTTGGTGATGCGCTAACCACTGCTTGTAAGCTCAGTTTGAATCTGTGTACAATGGCGACTAAACGAAGGACAAAATGAATCCAACATTGTGTGGAAAACTATTTTTGACAATTTTATCTGTGATATTAAATTTACTTCTTGTTAATGGATTTATACGTTTGGATAGTATTGACAGGTTATGTAAACTTAACTGTGACCATTTATTGGTACGTATAATATATAAATTCTTGAACAAATAAATAACTTTTGACATATACTGTACATGTATATATTTTTGATCTCAAATGTATTCTAAATTTTCAAACTAAAAATAAGAAGAAAAAACAACAACAAAATAAATGTGAGGATTTTAAGAATCAACAAACAGATATAAATTAACAAGAAAAAAATAATGTTACATTTCATATTATGTTAATGCGTCTTGAAGTATTGTTGTTAATACTTATCTGTTCTCATCCTTGCCACATATTACAAGAAACTTGCCAAATGAGAACGGGAGTAGTGTTGTTATAGTAAATTATATGTTTTTGTTTTCCTTTTTTCGTTTCTATTTTTTTCTACGTTGCCTTTTTTGTTGTTGTTTATGTATTTCTCAACGGTTTGATTTATATGATGAACATTTATGATTTAAATAGCGTGATCAAATTTATAATGTTAAACTTAATTTTTATATTGAATTGATATTTTTTTTGTTCAATTAGATATTTACCTTTTGAGATTAGTAAATATTTGTAATGCGTAAAACAATGATGTTGTTAAAAGGAGTGCTGTTTACACTAAAAGTAAAATTATAATTTTTGCAAAATGTTTATATTACAATATTTATTTTACTAGTATTTTGTATTAAAGTGTAATTTATTTCCTACCACATTTGATACATTTGTTCCCAGAGATATCCTAAAATGTGGTGGTAATAACTT